AAGAAATATAGAAAAGTTGTTAATAAAATCACTTATACCTCTATTCTTGATATTTTCAGATAGTTTTGTTATATGTTTGTTATATAGATTTAAAAATTATATTATTTTTCCTTGTGTATTTAGACTGGTTCACTTTTTTCAAGAAAATTATTATAAAAGAAAATTTTTTGAAAAAAAGTGGATTTTTATTTTAAAACATATTATATAACTTTTTTTTTTTTTTACATGAGTTATAGTATATGATAAATAATATAATTTATAAAGTTTATTAATTTTTTTTTCTATATAATTATAATAAAGACAATAGGAATTTCAATGATTTTAATATTGAAATTACTTAACTTTAAAATAGAGTAAGTTGAATTCAACTTTTTAAATAGGTTGAAATTTTAAAAAAAAATTTTCTTAATTTAAATAAAAATAAAACTTTTATATTCTATATATCTAATTAAGAAAAGAACTTATTGTTTTTAGATAGTTAAAATGAATTACTGATTAATTGTGGTAAACTGATTTTTATTTATTGCCAATATCTAATTTAAAAGAAACTTGTCTATAAATTGCTTGTATTATGAAAGTATTTTTAAGTAAAATCAATAAAACTTGATTATTTTATTTTTTTTTAAATAAAAAATAAAATAAAAAATAAAATAAACAAACAAACAAATAAATATATATACAGTATATATACAATTCTAGAATAAGATTTTTCGTAAACATTTTTTTTTTTTGAATTTAGCTTGATTATTAATAGAATTAATAAAATTGTTTTTTTTAATAATAATTCGAAGTAGCATAAATATTCCAATGCAATATTATGTTATATACGGAATACAATACAATTGGTTAAAAAAGATAAAAAGAAATTTCCATTTTCAAACGGTATACAAGGTTACATATTAAAATATTGTTTTTCTATACCATATGCGGTATACAGTATACGGTATATGGTATTTTATTAAAAACAGTTAAATCATAACTAGGTTATTCTATTATACACTGTATATTTTCTTCAACAAATAGCTATACGATTTTATTTAAAAAAAAATTGGGTTTTTTTTTATACTGTATATAATTTTTATACGGTATTGGAATTTTACTATTTATCATAATTCATCAATCTACGCACGAAAAGAACGGGATCTTCAAAATTATCACCTGATCATACAGTGAATGGGCAACGGCTAGAGGGTGACACTTCAGAAGACCAAAACGAGCGAACAGGAATGGAATTAATGAATTGATTCTTGATTAACTAGTTACCAATTGCTTATACAGTACAGGAGGTGGCTTTTCGGAGATGAGCAACACACTTTAATAAAAGTTAATAGGATGAAAGTAAGTAGAAACGGAATATTTCCTGTGATGGTTAGGAAGTGTAATACCAGTGAGTTTTATCAACGCAAATTTGTTTCCTGCAAACGGAACTTTTCTTCTGTGCATTCCTAATTCTCATGTAATTCAGTATGTACAGCAAATCCACCATAGCCGTGGAGGTCGTGAAGAACAATTCGATTTATTGACTGTCAACGTTTCACTGATCTCGCGGTAGTAAAAAAATCTTTATTAATAACAATAGCACACAACAGTTCCGGGAAAGGGTTTGTAAAGTTGGCCTTGGTCATCAACCAACTGTTATCGTTTAATTGGTCGTGAATCATCAATTTGACCCTCCAGCACGTGTACAGCCCACGACCCGATGACAGACCTGTTTATTGTTAATCTTAATTAATAACTATAGTCTTCTTTAAAACAGCACACCATCCTTTTCGTTGATTCGTGATACACGGTACGTCACTGGCAATTATTCTCCAAAAGGCGAAGTTTCACAATGAACCGTACCAATCACCAGAGTTACCGGAACATTTTCAAAGTTGATATATGCACAGAAGTTACACGAGAAAACTAGTTTAATGGTAAAAATATTCATTCCTTATTTTTTTACAAGACGGTCGTTTTTTTTTTCTTTTTATGGTTTCATCCTTTCTCTTATTTTCCATCTATGATTAACAGCGTAACATTGGGAAACCGGGATTGAAGTTGATTCGCTGGAAAACGGTGTCTCCTCAGGTGATCATCATTATTTTTTTGATCTCTTTATCCTTCATGACCTTGTTGATGGAATTAGGGGGTGGGAGAGAACGGATAAAGAGGTCACTAGTTGTTGAGAATAAAGATAAAGGTGTCAGTAGACGAGAATAAAGAGGGGCGATTGTATTAAAGTGAGAAGGAGAGAATATAATCACAGGCCACAACAAGCTTTGAATTTTATTTATCTATAAATGTCGACCCCTCTTCCTTCGGAATTTACAGATCAAAAAAAATTTTTTTTTTCTCTTGAGAATACATCCCATATCATATACTGTATCTCTGCCGTCGATTGTCGATCACTCTCCAGACGAGCATCAAACAAAACGCGGTCGTCAATTCCACATAGGCATGACCTTTAGAGCAATTCACGCGAGCAAGAATGTCATCGCAGTTTGCTGATACCCGCGGTATATTATGACTGGAGTCACGGAATAACACTTCCAATTAGCGGGCGAATGTTCAAACGATTTCAACAGACGATAGAAACGAGTGTACCCGAATGCAGTCAATTTACCACGACAGCTTTCAACTAGTATGAAAACCAGAAGAAAATGGCTAAAAGCAACGCGCTGAATGAAATCACGTTACATGTTTCACCACAATTTTAAAACCATTTGCAACTGATTTGAATAAGAATAAAGAACGGAATTTTTCGACAAATTAAATTGGCATAAATCACGTAATCAATTTCATTTCGAGTTTCAAAGTTCAGATTCAATTCAAGCAAGTTTCATGAGGCTATTAAAAAAAGAATTTGACCTTGTTCTAATTGCAACTTGGTGCGTGAATTTTCGTGAGGAATCTATCGTGTACTACACGACGACCATTGAATCCGAGTAACGCGTTTCCAATTAATCATCTGTAATTACTAAGGTTAAATGCTAGTTATCGTGACACAGTGACGTATTGCATCATCACGGAAGCTTATCACAAGGGTATGGAAGTTGGACATGACACAAGCATTAAGAGAAAAAAAAAAAAAGGAAAGAAAAGGAAAGAAAAAGAAAGAAAAGCGTCATTCATTGTATTCGATACATTGGATGTGTCCACCTAAAGAAAAAAGATTCATGTTCTTCCTTGTTTGGTTTGGTTTCATTCATTCATTATTTAGTGTACTGTACATTATGCATTTCTTAATTGCTCGCTAATAAACGTACATGAATTCTTTATTCCCCAATTTATCGTGCTTAAGCATATCCTAGGTTGCACTGATCACGCCCAACGTACATGGGTGATCTCATCACGTTCACACATAATGGCCCAAACTGTCGTTAATTTCCCAGAACAAGGATGATAATTATATTTTGTTTCTTTTTGATTTGTTTTTAGTCTAATATACAGTATGTTGTACCAATCTTGGGTGTAGGTCGACGTTAATTCCTGATTTCATTATTGGCGTACGTAGAATTTCAAATTACTAATGAGAAATACAAGCCGACTGACATGGTGACGCAAGAAGAAACATACGGAACAATCGTCACAAATGAGGAACGATTAAGATTAGAGTGTGTCGTACGTGGACACTAGACTGCGTTTTATAATGACGCACCATACCATACATATGAAAAAGGATCCTTGATTGCCAGATAACTAACTCCGAACGAGCCCCCGAATCTTAGAACCAACATTGTACGCACAACATGGCATAATAATGATGTTTTTTATTCCCACCCGTAATCCAAATAACATGAAAACGTTGAGTTTACTCTTAAACAAAGAACACGAGACAAAGATGGTTTTTTTTTTTTTTTTTCGAGTTACTCATTTATATGCCGACCATAAACCTTTGTAACATTTAAAATTAAAGTAAAAGGTTTCGCAAAGATGATGGAGATTGTTTGTTGCTCTTTTTCAGAATTCACAATTCCCACATGGCGTCTTGTAACTTGCACTTACTTGCACTTATTGCATACCGACGATAATCATTCCCCACAGTTCTAGCGCGCACAGGGACGGTGATACAGGATAAAGTAATCAGTAATGCAAATATGGTCTTTAGTCTATTGGCCTCGAACGAAGCCTGACAATGGTGACACACGTGGCGTTATCTCTGCATTAATTAAGTGTAGAATTTCCTTCCACGCGATATGTTGTATCGTATTTGTGTCCGTGACGATCGTGAGTACATGTCATGACAACAAGGAGTATCTCCCAACGTCACTCCCTTCCTATTATGTCAAACAAGCTGAGAACAAGGTCTAATTGGACCCTCGGTCCAAAGATGAGATGCGCATTTTAACCACCCGTTCCAACCTCATTTGTGTATATATACATCCAGCGTTTTCGCTTTTTTTTCTCTCGTCCAAATTTTGCGCTCTAAAATTATATTTATCATTTGATTTCTTGCTCTGTGAGCAATACAACGAGTTTTCATTCTTCATTCATCTTTGCATCACTAACAACAACTCATCATCATCATCACCACCATCGCCACCACCATCACCTTCCACATTTGCATCTCTTTTTTTTTTTTTTTTTTTTTTGCTTTACAATAGAGAAGAAAAATGTCTAGTCCATCAACTGTAATAACATCAACAGAAGCCATCATTTCACCAGTATCAACAACAACAGAAACAACAACAACATACAACAACATGTCAGACTTAAAATCTCCTGCAACTTCAAAATCAGCGATTCCTTTGGCCGAATCGAGTGCCCTGCCAAAACTTCGTAACATTGCCCCCGCTCCTCAGGGTAAACCGGATTATGACGTCTACCATATTCCAAAAGGCTATGAGGTTTTACTCGTACCCAAATCGTCCGCGGATGCCTCCCCCTCCTTCGCCGGTCATCTGTCCACCTCGCCCAATAACGTCATACCTCTTTCCCCTGCCCCTTCTGAATCGAGCACACAAGATTCTCCCAAGTCCTCCTCGAAACCCTCGCCACCGAATAGTTCGTGGCGTAAGCGTAGGAACAATGGTCACATCCCTCGTCCAAAGAATTGCTTCATGGCCTACCGTGAACAAATTCAGCACAAGGTTCTCGAGGAAAATCCGGGAATGAACAATAAGTTGGTCTCCGTGATCGCTGCCAAGATGTGGAAAGAAGAATCCGAGGAGGTCAAACAATATTGGCGTGAGCGCGCCCAACAATTGAAACTTGAGCACATGATGAAATACCCGAACTACAAGTTTGCTCCCAAGAAGAAACAGTCGAAAACCAGCTCCCTCGGTGTTAAGCCCACTAAGGCCATCAAGAAACCCACCGACACAAAGGTCTTAACCGAGGAACTTGCCAAGGACATGTTGAAAAGAGGATACGGTAATCATGAAGGGCCTGTTCTCTGGGGCCATTATCGTTCCTCGTCGCTGGACTCCATTGGTTCTTGGACGAGCGATTCCAACCCGCCCACCCCTCCTTACATCGAAAATTCGCCACCAACTTTTGAGACCAATGACCCTTGCGACCGCTCGGTCTCGCCCCTGCGCTACGAGACGTGTTCAAAGATCGATGCCAACAATTCTCCAAACTCATTCACTCATGGTGACTGGAGTGAAATGTGCGATCAATTTTCTTCGATCGACAACGGTTTCTTCGACTCTCTACTTCCCCCAATGGAATTCAGCGGCAACATGAATGTCGACACGCCCGCTAGTAACGGTTCCTACTACTTCGATGAGGACGATGAGATGGAATACGGTGAGGGTTTCATTCAACCCGACTCCTCCCAACTCCTGAATTCACTCGTGTTGCCCGGACAAAACACCATTCACCAAGGGTATCGCCCACATCATCATCAACGACCGCTCTATTAGATTCGACCCATAGAATCGCTGGGCGGTTCCGCGCGATTGAGCGCGCACGCACGCGAAGAAGTTATCTCGTTGATTGCGATAAACAAAAAAAAAAAAAAAAAATCACGCGCATATTTTGGACTTTGGACCCTCAGTTTTTTTTCATTTTATACATAAATTTTGTATTTAATTCTTATATATACGTACACCTTATATATACATACCCTCTTCTCCTCCGCACACCCTTACTGAAATGTATCATTTCACCACCCACCCACCTTTGTATTTTTTTTTCCCCCCGCCTCGTACAAAACTATAGACTATACATACTCATAGACTTGGTGATCATTATTCATTGAATAATTTTCACCGCTTTTTTTTTTTTCATTCATTCATTTTTCTTTCTTGCATTTCACCGTACATACTCTAAAAAGAATCATCTCATTTGCACATACACTTCAATTGCATATACTCATCAATTTTGCATATACATCGAACCCTCTTTCATTATACATATATAGAACCTTCTTTATACATACATCCACTTTTGTAAGTAGCAATATAGACTTTGTAGAATTTCATATCATAAAAGCACACAAAATTTTTGGTATCATGGTATTTGTTCGCTTTCATTCTTTTCTCTTTAAAAAGAAAAAAAAAAATCAAAAAAAAATTAGAAAAAAAAAAAAAATCAAAAAAAAAAACCCCCCACCATTTTAGCATTTAACATTTTTTTTTTATTATTTTCTTTATTCTTTCTCCTGACACTGACATGTTGTTGTTTTCGATCCATACCACTAACTCTTATGTAAAAAGTCACCAATCATAACATAAAAAGAAATTTCTTCTCATATTTAAAGCAAAGAAAAAAAATGTTTAGGATTTTGTCTCCTATACACTTAACTCTTTTTTTAAAAGATATGCAAAGTACGCGCTTTTTTCCAAAGTAAATGAAATATTTCACTTCCATACACCGATTAAACTAAAATTAACCTAAATCACAATAAAATATAAAAAAAAAAAAAAAAAAAAAAAAAAAAAAATTTACAACTTTATGTTCACGAATTACGGAGTGCAACGTCTTTCTTTCTGCGTGACTTAAAGGGTGATTGGTGTGTAAAGACATGATGAATTTTAACAAACGACAATATACCAATCACATTTCGATTTCAAATCGCATTCAAACTACGTAAATTCATGTACGAAGCCCTATAAAATTGACCATGCGTACATGCGTATATGTATGCGCTGTATACTTTTACTAGCTAATCTATTTTAAAAAATGCTATCGATACGGAATTACTTAAAACGAATAATACGGCCGATGATGCGCCAGCGAATTACCGAAAACATTGTGCATTCTCTAAAATTGCCTACAGTCGATTCGACGATCGCGTGTTTCAAACCGTTATTCGCATTCAAACTGTGTTGCGGAAAAACGGGAACTTTTATTTATTTATCTGTTTATTTATTTTTATTTATTTTTTTTTTAAAAAAAAATTGATTAACTTTTTGTTTATTCAAAACTTTGTTTTCTAATTTATTATTTACACATTTTTATCCTACCTTGATATTGGTATACAGTATATTCCTATTATTAATTGCTGATTTAATTGATAGAATGTCAAGTAACCGAATACGACTATATGCATTCCCATAATACTGTATATCGATAATTTGATCAACTTAAAGATCTCTTGTACTTTTAAAGTAAGCCTCTATAAATGTTCACTATAGTAGGAGGATTTATTTTCTTCTCCTGTCAACTGCAAATACTCTCTTACAGTTTTTGGTTTCATAATTTTCTAAAAAATTTTATTTACCTTAATTTTAATTCTGAATTTTTAAATATAACCATGTTTTTACTAATTACAATTACAATTACCATTACATATCTCAATAAATATTATTAATAATATAAGAAAAAAAAGATTAAACTACTTTATTTGAACTTTAAATAATACTAAAAAGTTACTGTATATTTATTAAGTTGAAATAATTTTTTCTTGTTATGCTAATTAGGTAAAATCAAGACTATATGGATCCATCATATTTCAATCAAACAAATTTTTTATAATATAATATTAAGATTAAGAGATATAATAAATAAAAAAAATTTTTTTTTTTAACCCACAATTATATCATGATGGCTTGTTTTTATTGAAAAATTAAAGCAAATCTACAATAATTTACAGACTTTCACAAAGTAATTAACTCATTTTTATATATAAATACTCTAAATCAAATTTTAGGAACAATATTATACTCCTCTGATAGATTGATAATGATCTCTATTTGTCTGGATTATTGTCAACAGTTTGTCACTGTTGATTGATTCAAAAATCAATAAATTGTTAAGTTAAAAGGAAAAGAAAAAGATCGATTTAGGAAAAGAAGACAATTCAAAATTCACCAAAAAAATTCAAAAATAAAAACAACCTCTTTTCAAAAGAATCAAGATGGTTTTTTTTGCTTTACTTGAACCTTAGAAAAAATTTTCTTTTTCACTATCTATAACATTAAACAAGTCAATCTAACTGGTCTTTAATTTAAATAAATATCAGATTAGAATATCTCAAGGAATATATTTAAACCTTAACTTTTTTTTTATTAAAGTTTTGTCACTATTGAGGAACTTAGGTAAGAAATAAAAGTTTGCAACCTATATTACCTATTACTTAATCTTTTGATATCATAGAAGTTTTCATTAAGGGACTTAAATTTTTGGAGAAAAATGTTTTTAAAACATTCTTTTCAATTACCAATAATATCATTAAAATATATAAATGTAATCAATAAGAGCTTGTTTACATTATAAAAACTAACATGTTTTATATTAATTAATCATCTTTGATAAGAATTTGTGTTATCCAAAATTCAGGATCAAACTGAGATAGGCAAAATTTCTTAGAAAACTATAAAAATGGGAGCTCTAAGAGGACCAAGACTGTCAAAAAGAAATAAAATAAGTCTTTTTACCACAAAAAATCTCTATAAATCTCTTGCTTCAAAGGTTAGATAGACCTTTAAATACATTATAGTCTGTTTTTCTTTCTTTGGAAATTTTTTTATCATTGGTATTAAAGAAGATACTTGACTTTTTTTGGTCACTAAAAGTCAAGTTTTTAAATGAAAAGGTTTATAAACAAAAAGGTGAGGATAAAGACAACTCTTGAAGTTATACTTCAAGTTGTTTTAAGGAAAGTATTAAAACTTTATTAATAAAGAAGTATAAAAACTTCTTGTGAACATCTTTTTTATATGTGATCAGAGAATCAGTAGAAAGAGTTTTTGAAATATGATAAATAAATTTGTGCTTTATATAAAAATATATATAAAATATTTTGAAAAAAAGAAGAATTTTAAACAAAATATATGTTATTATAATAGTTAAATAAATAAGATCTTTAAATAAGAAAAAAATATATAATATATAATATAAATAATATATTAATGACCTGTGGGACAATAGCACAGTGGTAGTGCTCCCAGGTCGTAACCACAAGGTTATAGTTCAATACCACTTAAGGACTGAATTAAAAATTATTCTTCTGATCAGATTTAACTGATTATTTTGTGAAAGTTATATCCAATTATCCGGAACAAGTTCTAATCAGATTAGGCTATATAAAGATGAGACTTCTGGCCTTCTATCAATCAAGGACTGAGATCTATGGTTGTATTACCAGAAGGATTGCATGAAGAAAGGCTTCTGGTCTAGTCTTCTATAAACACCTCAAACCCACTCTGACCTGATAATCTCCAGGACCCCGCTCTCCTAGCTCAGAATATTCCAATTTGATACTTTGCTTAATTGAAAATCAGTAAATAGGGACTGATCTGATACTACAGGTGGTGACAAAGAAGAAAAGTGCCCCCTTCCGATATCTGAGTGAATAATATACAAGAGAATATTGGAGGGTGTTATACATCCTATCGGGTACATATTAACAGCCTAGTTTAATGAATATAATACAAAAATTTATAAAGCTCACTACTAAATTAGCCTGACTCACCATTAATGATTGTGTATTTGACCATTCAGCTCCTAGCTAGGTCTGTCCACTCACAGAGTGATTGTAGGTCTATTTAGGACAAACCGTGATATGTTATCATTAAGCTACATAGATATAGAAATATATAGTTTGTAGAAGATAATTGATATAACTGCTATAGGATTTAATTATCTGTTAAAATTAAGTTAATTCTTTAATAAAGCTTGTATCTAATACCAGTTGCGATTTAAAAAAAAAATAAATAATATATCAATTTATATTTTTTAAAAAATATTTTTAATTTAATAATTTTTTTAAAAAAATTTTTGATTAAAAATAATAGCAATATATATATATATATATTGAGTATTCATAGCTAGGCTAGATCATCAGTTTATTAATTAATTGAAAACATAAATACATTTTTATTTGAGTAGCATGATACATATTATAGCTAAACTATTATTCTAATCTAATCAACTTGTTGTAAGCATAAAAGCCTTCAAATTCAATCTTAGAAACAAAAGTAGGGATGTAAGTCAGGTTGACTTTTGGTTATAAAGATATTGACTTTCAGTTATAAAAATATAAATTATATTAAATTTAATTAAAATAAATAAAATTTTGATATTAAAAAATTTTTTTAAATTAAATACTATATATAAAATTTTAATATTAAAAATTTTTTTAAATTTTAAATTTAAATATAAAACTTTTTAATAATAAAATAAAAAATATATAACAATTGTTTTAAAAACCTTATTTGAAATATTTTAAAAAATAATTTTTAGTAATAATATATATATAGTATATTTACTTATATTTTTTATATAAATTTAAATTTAGAACTAAATAAAACACTTAGTACATTTCTAAATAACAAAGCTCCAGGAAAATTCAGATTAGCTATAAAATACCAAAGAATATAAGTTTAAAGAAAAAAGAATATCTAAAAAGAATATTTAACAACTTTCTAAAATGGAAAGTAACCCTGACACATTGAAAACAAAATATAAATATTCTATA